GCAAAGACGTTAATGTGCACATTGCTTTAAATTCTCAGTATACACAGTATGCAAGTAGAGGTACAAATAAAATACTGTTTTGGCGGCTCCGTTGCGGTACAAAATTCAAGCTTTGATTCTTAAATACCTTTTTATGTTTTGGAATCGTGTACGAAATACGAATTCCTAGCAGAGCCTATTTTTAGAGATGGGAGGATATGTAGACTTAATGTCACTTTATATTAAATGCTGATGAATATTCTTTTTCCCTCCAGCTGTAAAATTTCCATCGTGGTATAACGCCATTAAAATACAATGTCGACTATTTTAGAGTAAGCACAGAGGTGCTGTCATATGCTCAACTAAATCGTCAGTCTTCGTTGCTCCTCCGCAGGCTAATCTTTTTAGCTTCTGGTATAATTGGCTCATAACTTAAGGATCAGTCTGAAGTACGACTTGAGCTGCTTGTCGTACGACAAAAATCCACCATGGAGATCTTCAATTACATTGCCTCTTTCATCTTGACGCTTCTGCAGCTTCCAAAATAAGTCTGTTGAGGCTTTTTTTATTTACATAGTGTCCAGTTTTATAAAGTAATTTACATAACAAATAAAGGCATTATATTTTTCTTGCCCCAAAGAGCTTGCGGTCTAACTCTAAAAGGGATTTCAAGATGAAGGGAGGGTGGCAGCTCTTGCTGTGGGAGCACCTAGTATCCCTCAGCTTTTCTGAACTTCACAACCAACGTTAAAATGAATTAGCGGTATTCTACTGAACAAATGCATGTACTACCAGCTGAGTGTCTACTCTGAAGTGGAAGGCTGTTAGCTTGCGATGAAGCAGTTATTTAGTGCTAGCTGCAAGCCCTTAACATTGTTTGGAGTCTGGCCTTTTGTTTGTTGTCGCGTATCCATAGATCTGCCCTTTAGAAGAAAGTTTATTTTTAAGAGGAAGAGCCGTATGTAAACCGCGTGTATGAAAATGTACGTATCGAGCTGCTTTTTACAAGTGTCTCTGCTAAGGGAGAACAATACTTTGTCTGGCCAAAAGGTGAAGAATTTTTTTCTTGGAGAAAAGTTTGCTCTAAGGGCGCTTTGTAACTGCTCTTGCAGTGTGTTGCGTTAGGGAAGCAAATGAAAATAAGGCTCATCGTCGTGTGCCTGATCTGCTGAGTGGTGCCACAACCTTGCCAGCTCCTTAAGTCACTTTCTTTGTACCCTCGCTACTTTTCACGCTGAACACCGTCGGATTTATTTTGTCTTACGCGATGTTTGAGAGCGGGGTTAGTGGCTGTCATCGTGCTAACAAAGCAATACAGAGAGTTTCGTTAAGGAAAAGACTGTAGGAGGTTTTGAATGGAGAACAGCTCTGGCTTTGAGGAGAGGATTTCCTGCCTTTCTTGTAAGTGCCCAAATACCCAGGGAGAGACTGAACGCCTCCCGGAAGGTCCAGAGGTTCGCACCGCCGTGCCCTTCCCCTGCTCTGCCTGCGGGTTTCTCACCCTCCCCGTCGTCCCCTGGCTGGTAAGCCCTCGGAAAGGAGGGACGCCTGAGGCTCTTTCCCAGCACGGAGGGCTCCAAGTAGCAGCGGGGAGGCGGTGAAGAGAGACAGCGTTTGCATTTTCGGCCTTGGCCGTTAAAGCTGGTGTCTTCTCGCGCTGGTTATTTCAGCAGAAGCTTCTGACGGAGAAAAACCAGCCTCCGGGCGGCCCAAGGGCTCCTGGATGCCACCAGTTCTCGCGCTGCTCTAGAACCGCCGTCTTCTGCAGCAGCTCTCTCGCAAAAAATGCTGTAGAGGCTTACAAGGGAGAGATCTCTGGATGCCTTTCAACTGCACTGTAGATGCTGGGAAAAACCAGTGTTTTAAGAGAAGTCTCGGTAGCAGATGGTGATGGCGTTCGTCCAAGAGAGCTTCCTCCTTCCTCCCTTTGAAGGCAGGGATTTTTCTAGTTCTCGGATACGGAAGAGCTGTTGCTGCCCTGCATGTTCGTGTTGGCTGACTTCCTCTAACTGTAAGGGGAAAAAAAAAACGGTTCTCCACGTCGTTGAAATAATTTCTTCCTCTTGTTCCTGTGCCACACCCCTTTCCTCCAGAAATGGGTTTGTAGGGGAAGTTTTGTCCCTGCCCCAGGTTATTTGAGTGCTCTCTGCAGGTTTTACTGCATAGAAAATCCTTTACGATATGGTAAAGAAGTGCTTAATTTTGAGCTAGCACACTTCTTCCTTGGATTCTTAACCTGTGGCTGGGATGTATGTAATGAGAGATCCATAATTAAGAATCACTTGGTTGAAGTTAATTACCTTAATAGGCTATCTTTTAGAATTTATCCCTGGTGACTTACTGAAGGTATAGCCGAGCTGTTGGCAGATGGAGAACACCAGCTGCTCCGTGCAGAGGTTTTCTGCAGCTGGTGCTGCACGGGGGTGTGGAGCCAGCTCCGGTCTGAGGCCGTGGCCCTGCGCGGGGGGTCGGACGCTCTTTCCGGGGCCAGCTGGGATTTAGCGGGGCCGGTGCTGAGCGAAGACTAGTAAGCCCTGAGCCCAACCTGACTGCAGTTTACGCCAAGCTCTGCAGGCGTCGTTCCTGTTTCCCTGTTAGCCACGTCTTCTGGCGTGCGAGACGGTGGAGAACTGGCGTGGTTTAACCCCACGCCTGATGTTCTGCTAGTTCAGTGGCGGCTATAACACCTAAATAAAAAGTAAATTTATATATATTTAAAAAGTGAAGGTCCTGAGGGCACTGAGAATGAGCTGGGGTGAAGTTTCTAAGGAGTTGCTATCTTTTTTTGTGACTAGGAAAGCTTCCTAAACTGATGGACCGAGTTGGTGATTCTCGTGCCCTAAAATCTGAGGGGGTGTGTGTGTCCCTGAATGTAGGAGCTTGGTGTGTGAACTTCACAACTAACATTAAAATGAGTTAGCGGTATTCTACTGAACAAAGGCATGTACTACCAGCTGAGTGTCTACTCTGAAGTGGAAGCCTGTTAGCTTGCGATGAAGCAGCCCATATGGCATTTTCAGTTACCTGGCTTCAGCGGGGCACTGTGCCTTAGTTTTTCATAGAATCACAGAATCATTAAGGTTGGAAGAGACCTCTAAGGTCATCGAGTCCAACCGTCGACCCACCACCACCATGCCCACTAAACCATGTCCCTGCGCGCCTCATCTACACGTCTTTTAAATACCTCCAGGGATGGTGACTCCACCACTTCCCTGGGCAGCCTGTTCCAATGTTTAACCACTTTTGGATGCTTTTGTGCTGCACCTCAATGAGGGCATCTGCGAGACCCCGTCCTCTGCTCTCTCCCTGTTTTCACCCTTGCGTAGCCTGGCAAAGCGAGGCTGGGGAGAGGATTGCTGTCTCTAAATACGAGAGTGGGGGTGCTTTAAAAAAAGAAAAAAAAAATGCAGGCTTCATAATGCAGAAAAAAAATTGCATGTCCTGACAGGAATAAATATATTCCAGAAATCAAAAGGAGGTTTCCCGGCACCAGGACGGGAGGTTTCTGGAACCAATCCCTTCGTCAGAGCAGAGACAACAAAACAGCCGCGTGCTTTTAAGATTGGGAAATTTGTGAAAGGGGAGTGCAGGGTGTCAGTGGCCACGACAGACAGGAGAAGACTTGGCTGAGTAACGTGGGGAGCCTCGTCCTGTTCCTTTTCTTGCGTAGAGCTCGTTAGTTTTCCAGCAGGGTTTAAGCAGTATGGAAGAGCACAGTGAACGTGGGGAAGCTGGTTTTAGTGATCGTATACATGAACTGGGTATTAAAATAGAGGGGTGCTTACCAGTTGCAGTCACTGGAGGGACCGGAGCAGCAGCAGAAGGCTCTGGTTTGCCTGCCAGTGGCCTATTTTCACCTGTGTGACGTTGGTGGTATTTTTATTGCTTCTTCTCTCAATAGCAGGGCATGATCCTTGTTCAAAGCATTTTTCTGCGGTAGTTAGTTGATAAATCTCAGACTTTGATTCAAAGAAAGACAAAATACTTTGAGGGGCTCCTATTCTGCCATTAATGTGGGGACTGCTGACTTACGGATGTGCCACATCGGAGATGGCTGTAATACCGCATCAGGTGGGCCTGTGTGCAGGTTTTTAGGTTTAAGGTGTCAGAAGAGCAGGCGAGTGAAGCAAGCGGACACTCGGTGGGTTTTGTTTGCTGTCCTGACGCCTGCCACGCAGAAGTAGAGCGTCCATCTCCCTGTTGGAGTGGTCGCGGTCTCTGACTTCTGCTTGCCGGCGGGGGAAGATGTAGCAGCTCAGCTGCCGTTGCCGCACTCCTCCATGACAAGGCCCTTTCTTTTGGGGATACAGAAACCCTGGAGTTTGTCCCGCCTTTCCCTTCGCTTATACTCTGGGGTCTTGGACTCCCCTTCCTATGAGGGTGCTCCTCCTGGTCTGGTGTCCCTGGGGGTATGGTTCTCCTCACGTTGCATGATGAGGCCCGGGCAGCCAACGCTCCTCTCTCGACAAGTAACTTAACCGTTTGATTTAGCTATAGTAAGGTTTGCTTGAGGGAGTCTTAAAATAAGATGCGTATGCTAAACTTCCCTGCAAGTAAAGCACTTGGTAGACTTCCCATCCTGAAATGCTGACGGAGTTTGCAATCCTGAAATTCATTTAAGGAGCCCAGAAGGAGAAATTGTCCAAAGTCCTTGAATTGCTCCCGCTTTCTCCCTCCATCGGGCCGTGATGCAGATTTCTCTCTCTCTCTCATTCGTGAACGGTTGTTTTTACGTCTGTTCTTGTTTGAAGTAAATGCATTAGAAATAGAGGATGATCGAGATTTGGGCGTGCCTCCTAAAATAGAGTTTACATCTTCTCTCAAGATTTCTTCTGGTGATGGTTGGGGGTGGCCTCTATGGAAATAGATAAAAATAACTCAGTGGTTATTTATGAACGTGGGTAGCTGATGGCTCTAGCCGCTCCTGGGGAACTTTGATGCTCTAAAAGGGCCTGTCTTACTCCGCTCTGTACAGCGACCAAGTTAACCCGCCGAGGGGAGAATACACCATCTTCAAACATGTGCTTGCCGGTCGGGTTTCTGGCTTTTCAAAGATGGTTTGGTCTGGGAGTGAGTCTCCCTCCTGCCCCCGAGTTGCTTTCTTTGCTGTCCAGCTTTCTCAAGTGCTGCCTCTGGGTGTTTGGGTGTTGCTCTCTGACTGCTTAGCGCTCCTGCAGCTCGCGCGGCGGGGCCTCGGCGTGCACCTCCTGCGCTGCTGGGACGGGGGGGACAAGGAACATGCTCTCGCTTGGGTGACTCTGCGTTCTGGGGATGGCTGCTGCTTCCCCGAGTTTAACCGGAGGGGTGCCCGCTTTCAAAGGGCGGTAGGAACGAGGGCTTCTTCGTGTTGCACGCTTATCTGTCTGCAGATAAGCAAACACATATTGCAAAAATGACAGTAGCACGTTATCGTGCCTGTCTCTGACATGTAAGAATTTTGTTAAAACCCGAGATCCTTCTTTCCAGAGGAACGTTAGTAACATCTATGCTGCATTCAGGTTTATTTTCTAAACATTCCTTTTTTCCTTTTGGAAAAAACCGTAGGGGTTTAATCCTGCTGCCATAAGCCATAACATCTGGCTACATTTTTCTCTTTGCTCTGGAGCCCGTGTATCTTGTTAGCTCTAGTCTACCCTTTAGCTCATTAATAGTAATATTAATCTGTTCCAGTTCTCAGCTCTAATCGCAGATTCCATCTGATCAGGGTTTTCTCTTGATCATTTCCAAGCAGCTCATTATCTAATACAGCTGTAAATGTTGCTGGGCCTGACACTAATGCATATTTTGTACCACGGGGGAATTTGACTAATAAAATAATCCAATTAGACATTTGTTTTTGTCTCCCTGGGGCATCTTAGATTACTTGTCTACCTCAGTTATGTCTTGTAATTAGTTAACGTTTGTACACCCCTTTGATGTAAAAGCACTGGTATTATGCTTGGCTCTGGCTCTGGATCAGAACTTTAGAAAAGAAATAGCTGGGGATTAAAATTGCAGCAGTTATCTAGCGGGTGTACGGATACCGTCAGACCTGCGCTTGTCCGTATCTTCAGTGCTGCCTGGCGGTGGTGGAAGTATTTTGAGGATTGCCTATCAGGTGTTGGGAGCTCCTGAACACGAGGTGTCTCAAAACAGGAGTTCAGTCCGTGTACAGAGGAGCCTCGGCCACGTTTGTCAAAGGCAGACCAGACTGCTAACGTTTGTTTTCTGCTTTAGAAATGAATAGATCAAACGGGCCTGCATTTTGGAGTCCCTAGAGAATCGCATGAATTAATTCAGTTTTTAAGTGTTTTGCTGGTGGTATGACAGTATCAAACCCTGTTTCTTTTTCTCCCCCCCCCCTTCTCTCTTTAGTCTTTCCTTGGTTTGGCTTGGATATCGGAGGGACCTTGGTCAAACTTGTTTATTTTGAACCAAAGGACATCACCGCTGAAGAGGAGGAGGAAGAAGTGGAAAATCTCAAAAGCATCCGCAAATACCTGACATCAAATGTAGCCTACGGATCTACAGGCATTCGGGATGTGCACCTTGAACTAAAGGACCTTACCCTGTGTGGACGTAAAGGCAATCTGCACTTTATACGCTTTCCTACTCATGACATGCCTGCTTTTATTCAAATGGGAAGCGAAAAACACTTCTCGAGCCTCCATACTACCTTATGTGCCACGGGAGGTGGAGCGTACAAATTTGAGCAGGACTTTCGCACAGTATGCATTTTTGGCTTCTATACGATTAGGCTCTGGTAGTGAAATCTTTTTTTAAAGCTTGAAACTAGAAAACTCGCTCTGCAGACTCTAAACCATCTCTAAATCTTAGCTTTGGAAGAGTGTACCTAACTCAAATTAAACCTGGTTCGGGAAACAGCATGTGGACTCAAGTTCGCATCTCCAAATTCGGATACTTTCTTTCCTGAAAGTGCATGTAACATTCCTGTAACTAAAATTATGCACTAACTTCCATGGCGTGTGCTCTTACAAGACTTTCTCTGTGTCATTAATCTCTGATTACGCTGATCTCGGTCTTGTGGGTTTTTTTTTCCTCATTGCTGTCTTTCACACGCTTAGTATTTGTTTTATCGTTCCTTTGCTCATGTGGTTTCATTTCTAACACACATGCGAGTGAGCTGATTGAGGTTCAGTCAGATTTGGCGGTAAATTAACTGAAAGGAGGTTAGTAGTTGGGATGTGACATCATCATGTGGCTTGGTTACAAGTTTGATTCTCGTTCACAGGTGAAAACATGTGTGATAAATACTTTGTTTAACCAGGGCTTGAAAAAGTGCCTCAAATAAAGAGGCTTTTTGTGCAGTCAAGGCAGTGACATGAGGGGAAAACAATTTCAGAACTTCCTCTGTTTTCTGGGTGGTTTTTTGGCTGTGGTTTTTGGGGAGGGGGGGGGATTTTTTTTTTTTTTGGTCCAACAGTTAAGTCCCTTCTCATTTTTCTTTGTTTTTCATGCTAATGCCTCAGAGTCAGGGCCTAAGTCAGGCCCGTGGAAGGTGACGGGATTCTCTTGGCGTCCGTCTGCGGATCCAGCTGTTGGTTTCCCCGCGCTCCCACCTCTGCGCGCGCGCTGTAGGGCCGGGGTAGTCAGCAGTCCGCGTGCGCGGAGAAAGACGGAGCCCTCCTCTGATCTGTGCTTCTCTCTCAGCCACCACGGGGAGTAGTGGAGATAGCTGAATTCAGCTGGCAGGGAACGCGTTTTTCTAGCCCTGAGCGTAAACACTTCAGATCCCTAGTTACTTCTTGAATATTCTTCCTTCTTTTTTTATTTTTCTCCACCAGATGGGTGACCTTCAGCTCTGTAAGCTAGATGAACTCGATTGCCTTATTAAAGGAGTTTTGTACATTGATTCAGTTGGATTCAACGGACGTTCGGAGTGCTACTATTTTGAAAACCCGACGGATGCTGAAAGATGTCAGAAGCTCCCGTTCAACCTGGAGAATCCGTACCCTCTCCTTTTGGTGAACATTGGCTCAGGGGTCAGCATTTTGGCTGTGTATTCAAAAGAAAACTATAAACGGGTAACGGGCACCAGGTGAGTGCTGGGGGGGGGGTAAATTCACTTCGAGTTTTATTTTAGAATCTGGAATGTATTTCTGCATTGTCGACAGCGTTTTCAGGGAAAAGCTGCGTTAAAGGTGGCGAGTCGAATGACTGAGCTGCTGCTTTCACTCTGCAGTCCCTCATTTCTGCTGACAAAGATCCCTCCGGGAAGAGAGATTCCAAATTTCATGTTTTGGTTTCCTTACTGCAACCAGTCTCTAATCCCTACGGCAGGGCAACTGAAAAAACAGCTTCGTGGGCATGGTGGTGTTGGGTTGACGGTTGGACTCGATGATCTTAGAGGTCTCTTCCAACCTTAATGATTCTATGATTCTATGAAAGGTGGCGAGTCGAATGACTGAGCTGCTGCTTTCACTGCAGTCCCTCATTTCTGCCGACAAAGATCCCTCCGGGAAGAGAGATTCCAAATTTCATGTTTTGGTTTCCTTACTGCAACCAGTCTCTAATCCCTACGGCAGGGCAACTGAAAAAACAGCTTCTAAACTGTTTGGTTTTATGTGCCACCAGAGAGATGCCATAGTTTGGGATTATCCCAAATGTACTCATAACGATCACGCTAACGACCGTTAGCTTTGATCCTAGCAGTAGAGATTTGCATCCTGACTGCCGAAAGTTACCTTACTTTGGTGGAAGGGACGCTGGCACGGCAGTAACTCCCCAGAGAGCTGCTGGACTGCTGCAGCTACCCTTCTTGAAGATGTGGCTCTTGTTGCCAGGCAAAGCCAAAGAGCTCTGTGGCTTTAAGCTTTCCTGAATTTCTTGAAAGTTAGCAATAATAATAATAAAAAAACCCCCACGGTACAGATCTTACTCTTGCTACACGTCACTGTTGGCATGTGCTCACAGTAAAGTGAACAGGACATAGGTTTTTTTTTTTCCCCCCTAAGTTTTGAATAGCTATGCCCTAATACTCCGGTTATCCCTCAGGACTAATATTTATTTTAAGATTGACTTCTCTGAGCGCTGGGAAGAAGGTGGGTATTGTAAAATAAGAAAATGAATTTCTCATTTAGAAACATGCCCTCTGCAGAAGGCTGTGAGGGCGTGGGATTCCTTGCAGGCTGTAAGTTATTTGAAAGTAACAGATTTAAAGAAAACTGCTGCTCTTCCAAGATTGCTCTCACTGAAAAGAGAAGGAGCTGAAGGAATGGGGCAACCTGAGCTGACCGAGCGTAGCTGAGTGATCCGAGCTTTCGGCGGAACGAGCCGTTTTCTTTCTGCGTCCCTTTAGAAGCAAGGCGGGTGACTTTCATTTTGCTTTATGCTGCAGCCTTGGAGGGGGAACCTTTTTTGGTCTCTGCTGCCTTCTTACCGGTTGCTCCACCTTTGAAGAGGCCCTAGAGATGGCGTCCCACGGAGACAGTACCAAAGTGGACAAACTAGTGCGGGACATTTACGGAGGAGACTACGAGCGATTCGGATTGCCGGGCTGGGCTGTAGCGTCCAGGTAATGACTTGACTGATTTTTATTTTCACGGGAGGTTCTGCAAGGCTGAGAAACCGGATTTACGTCTCTTAGGAGAGCTACCGTTCCTTCTGCTGTTCTGTTTTACTGGGTCTAAGTTACTGAGAGCAACGCTTTTTAAAGTTAGAAAGAAATACTTCAAGATGAGTCACTTTGGTTAAATTAGCAGTTCCCGTTTTCTCCTGGAATGCTGATGCGAATGGACCTTTAACCCGAAAACTCTCTTTACAGCTTTGGAAACATGATGAGCAAGGAGAAGCGGGAATCGGTCAGCAAAGAGGACCTCGCGAAGGCTACTTTAATAACCATCACGAATAACATCGGCTCCATAGCACGGATGTGTGCGCTCAATGAGGTATTAAGGGGACATCTGTGTCACTGCTTCCTGTCGAAAGCATCGCTCGTGTGCTACTGTCACGCAGTACCTCTGTCCCTGCACGCGCTTCTGTAGGTGCCTGTTCGTACTCGTCTTTTTGGATGTTCAGTAAGTCGTCGTCCGCTCGTTTTGGATTCTTCGGTGAATTTTGTCCCTGCTCGTCTGTGTAGTTTGAGGCAGACCGTTGTGCTGTGAAGGGAAGAGCTGTGGACGAGTTAGGGTTTGGCTGTTGGTCTCATTAGGTCCTCTGCTGCATCAGGAGTTAAACGGCTTCTCCGTGGTGGTTTGAGGAACGGTAGGTGTGCGGTAAACTACGGCTCTTGGGACCGCTGAGAGAGAAGGAAAGGTGGGGCGGAGGGGCGGAGGGGCTGGATACCTCCCCTGGGTTGTTTTAACGAGCTGCTCTTGATTTCTTGGTCAGGCCCCACCGCTTCCACGGCCGTTCCTGTATCTTTGTGCTTTCAGCTTCTTTACAGTGCTGCCTTGTTGCATTCATGTCAAGCAGCATTGTACAGGGCTATGAAAGAACAGAGACATGCTCTCCGCTCCATTCTGAGCCCGTTCCCGTGGGACGGGCTGACGGGGTGAAGCATCCACCCGACTCCTGTCGCTGTTGGGAGGTGCTTACGGTTTACCTTCATTTTCTCCTGAAACCAGGCGAGATTTTATTATAAACAGTCTTGCCCACAACGCATCTGCTGAGTCCTCACCGGAGTACACAGCTGAGTGCAGAGAGGATGCTGAACAGTTAGGGGGAAGCGTTAATGAATGTGGGGACGGAAGGGAAATCCGTAGAAGGACGCGAGTGAAGGAGCAGGTAGGACTTGATCCTGATTCCTCGGTCAGAGGAGGAACTGAAAATTATTTTCTTGTTGGAGAGCAAGAAAGCTTCAGAGTTCATCAGTTGGCTCAGGAGAACTATTTTGGGATTGAAAAGTTTGGCTGGGAGTCTGATTTAAATCCAAATCTCACTGCTTGGTTGGTCTTTTCCTTTCTTTCAGAATTGTGTTGGTTATGGGTTTCTAAATCTTCTTTTTCTTCCCCCAATCCCCCCCCCCCCCCCCCCCCCCCCAACCAAGGATTAAGACTGCATAACAGAATAACTGATATATGCTGAAGTACCATTTCTTACCTATTTACTTTTGGATGATGTTCTATAATATTTTTTCATTATTTTAGACTAACAGGATTTTACAAAGTATAAAAAACAAAAAAAAAAAGGAAACATAAAAGTCAAATATGTAAATTTGTGCATTTCTGGCATCTTATCACTGCATACCATGCATGTCATGGCTTAGAAAAAAAACGGATTTGCACATCACTGAAGGTACACTATGGTCATCAGTGGCCATTTGCACTAGATGTTACAGTTTTACATGGTAAAACAGAATTAAAAATAGAAGGTAAACTGAACAGTGTGTTGGTAAAGCAAAACTTAAATGCATAGATAAATACCATAAGAAATGGAAAGGTAGTTTCTAGTTTAAGGGAGCAAAACCAATATTGTAAACATTGATTTCCTCTGTCTGTTTTGTTTTCTGCAAATCATTCATTTGTTAGTCAGTTTTAATGCTGTATTGAGTACAGCAATTGTAGATGAAGGTGATTACATATGTAGGTTTTTGGTTTGGTTTTGCTTCTGCGTTCAGTATTTCTGATACTCTGGCTTTGTCTTTCTTACAGTGATGACTAGGGCCTTTTCTCCAGGCTAAACAACCCCAGCTCCCTCAGCCGCTCCTCATCAGACTTGTTCTCCAGACCCCTCACCAGCCTCGTTGCCCTTCTCTGGACACACTCCAGCACCTCAATGTCTTTCTTGTAGTGAGGGGCCCAAAACTGAACACAGTGTTCGAGGTGCGGCCTCACCAGGGCCGAGCACAGGTTTTTTTGTCTTTCGGCGTAGTCTCCAGCCCTCCCAGTGCAGCTCCTGACCATCTCAGCGCACCCTTTCTGATCTCACCTTGCTCTTCTGAACTGTCTCCTGCTGCTGCCAGACCCCGAGCCAGCTCGGTCTCATCTCTTGCTTGCAGATCGGCTCTTTTGGGTCCAGTTTTAAGATTCTAAATTCAGAAAGCTGCAAATGCATGATAACTCTTCTCTCCGCAGCTCCCATCCCCGCTCACCGCGGCGGTTACGCTCCTTAGCTGCCAGGAACAGCTATTTGGGGTGATGCGGTTTCTCTGGATCTCGTTGCTTTAGCGTCGAGTGGTGATTTCCCTCCGCTTTCAGCTGGTTGTTCTTCATCAAGTCTCACCGGAAAATGTATTTGAAAAGCCGCACGTGACATTTTTACACGGCACCATAAGTGTAACTTTTTTCTTCTTACTCTAAGGTGGGGCTTTCATCGTCGCAAGCAGAAAATGGAATTTAGCCTTAATGTTCCTTTTATTTTTTTTTTCCCTTAATACTTGCAGAACATTAATCGGGTGGTGTTCATTGGCAATTTCCTTCGGATCAATACCATTTCAATGAGGCTTCTGGCATATGCTTTGGACTACTGGTCGAAGGGACAGTTAAAAGCACTTTTCTTGGAACATGAGGTGAAATTACTTTCTGTTTTGTCTCGTGTAAAAAGGAAAAAGCCTTTGGAGGCTCTGGAAACAGCCGCCTGGAGTCCGTAGCTGTCGGTGTTACGCACTGTGCAGCAGGTTCCGGGTGCGTTGTTGCTGCAGCCACAGTTACTGCAGTGCCCAGCGTAGGGTCACAAAACCCACGTGTATCGTTCCAGTAGCTAATATAAGAACTGTTTACTACCAAGCTCGTCTTGCTTGTGAACTTTCTTTTAAGCCTATTGACAGTAGAGGTGATTCTGTGCAGCTCTGCTTTCCCATGTAGCAGTTACAGTTAGTCTCTCGTGTAACGTACCTACCTGTAGTTACTTCTTCCCACCACCTTTTACAAGTCGTTAAAATCACACCGTATGGGTAATGTTCTTGCCTCAGGCGCCTGCCCGTGTTTGAGGTTTTAACAGATATTCCCGTCTCTTTGCTCTTCAGGGTTATTTTGGCGCAGTCGGCGCTCTTCTGGAACTCCTGGATTCAGCCTGACTGGGTGCGGGCTCTGCACGTTGGACCGAGGAGGTCGGGGCGCTTCCTGGGTCGCAAAGCCCGTGTTTCGCTTCAAAGCGTCCGTTCGCTGACCGTTACGCTAACTGCGCGTGACCTGATGAGAAAAGGAGAGGGCTGCTGCGTTCCTGTCCGTAAACAGTTGAACCCAATCTTCAGTTACAGCGCGGGTCTGTTCCGAAGGAGCGTGTGTGCAGACGCAAGCGCCGCCTTCCGTCGGCCTGTCTGGAGCATCTGTAGGGCATTTAGTCGCTGGCATCAAATAGCCCGTTTTACGCAGTCTCTACGTGTGTTTAATGGTGGTGACGTAATAGCAGACTCGCACTCCGCTCCCCCCCATCAAGACTCCTCCGAGCGCCGAATGTTTACCCCGCTCACAGTTTATCGAGTTCAGCTGCAGCGTTTTGTGTTCCGCAAACGGAAGGCGTCGCGTTCCCGTTACGCGGTAAATCAGTCTGTAAAGGGGAAAGGACGTCAGCGCGGCCCTGGCGCCCAAAAACCATACGGACCGCTTCCGCCTCCTCCGAGCCGTACAGCTGTCGGTGAGGCTCTGTACAGCCGTACAGACGCCGTGGCGCTGTCGGTGAGGCTCTATTCCTGGTGTCGCAGTTTCTTACCTGTGTACAGCAGAGCCGAAAGGTAAGGCACAAGTCCTGTGCCTCGGGTTGGTTCTGACTGCAGCCCGTAACGCTTCCGTACAGCCCACGCTGCCCTTCGCGACGTGCCGTAGCGCTGGCGTAGCGTTAGGAGCGTCCGTCGGCCTCTGACCTTGAGGTCTGCTGAAAGCAAATTTGAAGGTGAAATAGCGGGGTTTGGGTTTGGCGTTTGTTTGTTGGGGTGTTTTTTCTGTGTCGTAAAACTCGGCTGCATGTAACTGTACCAACTGTTGCCTTTCAGTCACACGCTTGGGATCTTCTCTGTAATGTTCCATTTCGTGTTTATTAATTGTTACGCGGGTAGTTTCCAGGGGAGACCTCTCCTTCCCGTACGCGTGCTGTACTCTTCTCCGCTTTCTCTGTGCATGCCGTCTTGCATACAGCCTGCAAACCGGGTCGCTGCACTCTGGAACCCCGCAAGACCTCAGGGCGTGGACGTAGAAGCGGCTTGCTGCACGCTGAATAAACGATCTCTCAGAGCAACAGAGGTGCCGAGAGCGGCCAGCAGTTTAAAAAAGAAAAGCAAGCACGGATGCGGTTTGTGATCTGACTTTCCCTCCTCCTCTCTCTGCTTCGCCCCTGCTCTTTGCGGAAATTCTTCCCAGGCTTGGACCTTGCGTTGCGAAGTGCACGCGGTCCCCGGCGGGAAGGGTGTTCGTGTTCTCGTGGCCGTGCTGCCAGCGTCGGCTACCGCCGCGTAACCGCGCTCCAGTCGGGGAGCGCGAAAGCGCTGCCGTTCCGAAGAGCCATCTGCGCCTTCCCTCCCTGACACGTCCGTTAGAGGGGAGGTCCTACTCCGGGGTGTTCTCGCTCTGCCGTTCCGGCTGAGCAGCTCAGCTGCGTGTAGGGGCCGTCCTTCCCTCGGCAGGGCGAAGCGCTCTCTTGTGAAGACGGATCGCTGCAGTTCGCACTCGCCGGGGTTTACCCCCGAACGTCGGGATGACCGGCGTCCTGACTGGAACGCACCTTGCGAAGTCGCGGTTTCTTTTCAGACCGGTTGGGTTTCAGCCCGCTGATCCCCGCGCCCGCTCGGACGGCGGAGCGCGGTGCCGGACAGCCCGTGCCCGTTGGGGTAGCTTGCGGTTCGGCTGCGGTAACGCGCGGTAGAGGCGCAGCAAGTCGCGTCCGGCTCTACACCTTGCTGCAGCCCGAGATCCGAGTACTCGCAAGGTGCTCCGCAGCTCGCTGGGCTCCTTGTGTGGTACCCGCCTCTCGTTTGGGCCTGAAAAGGGAAGAAACTACGAATTCGGAAGACGTGCTCTTTGCTAGATTAGGTCCTGTGTGACGTTCCTGCCCTGTCAGCTCCACTGGGTAAGCGTTCCAGACAGCAGACGCGGCATAAAGCAAGGCGTTGTCCAGACTCCAGGTAACTGTGGGCCTGGAACTTCCTGAACGCATCCAGTACTTTGACGACAACGATAAGATGGAGGGGGGGAAGAACGAGAGTCGTCTTCGCGTGAAAGGTAATCTTTGCTGCGTGCTGTCTGCGGAAGAAAATTTTTTGTGCTTTTCCCGCAGCACACGGAGGTTTCGGTTGTACCCCACGTCGTACTGCCAGGGCTGAGGGGTTTGAGCGGGATAATACAGAGGCATGGCGTGGTTTGGGTTGGAAGGGACCTCTCGAGGCCATGCAGTCCAGCCCCCCGGCCGCGGGCAGGGACAGCTTCAACTCGATCAGGTGGCTCAGAGCCCCATCCAGCCTGACCTTGAACCCTTCCAGCGATGGGGCATCCACCACCCCTCTGGGCAACTGTTTGGGATCTGTTGCATCTGAGAGCTCATTTATTCT